GTAAAAAAAAGGAGAGTTTGGGGTGGGCGGGGGAGGGGGGGGGCGTGAAGCGAATTGGAGAATTGTGCTCCTCTGAAAAAATCCTGGCTACGCCCCTGATATAGCCACAAAAATGCAAACCTTTTCATCTTGTTTCCCAGGACCTTAAAAATATAAACCACATAATGACCACGTAAAAAAAAGGAGAGTTTGGGGTGGGCGGGGGAGGGGGGGGGGGCGTGAAGCGAATTGGAGAATTGTGCTCCTCTGAAAAAATCCTGGCTACGCCCCTGATATAGCCACAAAAATGCAAACCTTTTCATCTTGTTTCCCAGGACCTTAAAAATATAAACCACATAATGACCACGTAAAAAAAAGGAGAGTTGGGGGTGTGAAGCGAATTGGAGAATTGTGCTCCTCTGAAAAAATCCTGGCTACGCCCCTGATATAGCCACAACGTTGCAATAAACGCTTTGGTGATTTTATCGGTACTATCGTAATACTGGCAAACAAAGGTGAAATAAACGGCATCATGTTACATAAACAAACCAGAGTTAATGAAGTTTTTAAAAGGTCAATCAAATGATGATTTGAACAAGTTTTACAAGTTTGACTCGTTTTATAGGGATCAAAGTCTTGCTTGAAAGTGAGTGAAATACATAGCAAATATTAATGATAATAAACATGCATTTTTATTAAGATTTACCCCCCCCCCATACAGACCCTCTAAATGTTCCTTGAATGCGCATTAGCTTTTTCAAGTCTACCAATAATTTTTTTGTTCTTGGGATAGTTAAAGTGACGAATATCTTTTTCTTTTTTTGGATAAAAAAAATCCGGTCAAAGGGTCAGAGCTTAAACGTCAACCTGAGACGCTGTTCAGAGAACGCTTAAACATGTTAAACCAGTTCTTTGGTGATAAAGGTGAAGTCAACTCGTCAAGTCGCAGGGATGTAAAACGGTCCCTTCACTACGATAGACAGTTTGAGCGTCACGTATATACGGCAAACGTCAGATTCAAGTTGAGAATTTCTCAGAATAGAAAATGAGCAGATAAAAACAGCTCAAAACAATTCTTATGGATAAAAAATTGCGTAAAACAACTAATTTGTGTTGAAAAAATGATCAGTAAATGACAAGAGAAAACTTGGCCACGTGGTGAAAATTCGCGCCGGTTTGCCATTAAAACGTGTGATGGGGTAAGAGTAACTTCCTGCCGCCATCCCCACATCAATATCTTGGGAAATATTGCAGACAACGATTTTTTTAGCAAGATTCAAAAAATCTTATGCCTCTCGCTATTCAAACTGCGGTGGGCTCAAAAAGAACTGAACTGAAAAAAAGAAAATTCGAATACCAGACGAGATATGCTTTTCACCCCCCGCCCCGATTATTTCTAATGCGAGTCCGTCCCTTAAGGATACAATCATGAAGGATCACCGCAAAGGAACACATTTTCCGGATATCGTGACTGGATTAACTATGTGGTCAACCACTTTTGAGGAGGTGGGGGTTTGGTGATTCAGGTCTGGACAAGAATTTTTTGCAGCCGTACGTGACTTTTTTTTCAGTTGTTACTGTAAATATAAGACTATCAACTGCAATTGCATTTTTTTCCCTCCAAGCCTCTTCGCAAGAAACCTTTTTGATCACCCTGCCTAGCTCGGCCTCCTCCTGCTTTCCACATGAAAGTCAAATGCCGGTTGGCCCTACTTTCTTAGCCACATAAAGTGGAGACAGCAGTAACTTTCCGGAAATCGATTGCAAAATAACAGAGAATAACTTGGACTGAAAAAGGAAGAGACGTTTTGGTTTTAGTCATGACTTAAAAGGAGCTTCCGGATCGAAATGTTGCGTTTATCCCAGTAATCCAACCAGCAGCATTTAAATATAAAGCATAGTTGAAATCCTGACTTAGTTCATTTCTGCGGGTGCTTGGAAATCGTCTCGCGCTTTACTTTTGTTTCACCTAACTTCCTCTCCGGTAGGTCCTAGATAAAGTATGAAGCCACTGACAGTGGCTGTCCTCGCAGTCTTAGTTATTGCTCTGTTAGTGCTACATATGCATGATGTTGATGCGGCCCGGAGACGCAGTGGAGGAGGGAGAAGTCGTGGCGGTAGTCGGGTGAGTCGAGCCAGTCGAGCCAGTCGAAGCAGCCGCAGAAGAAGTTCAGTTCGCCGGATTCGTTCGTATTCAACACCTAAAATCACCAAAACCACACCAATAAAACCGATCACGTTCCGTACTCCGGTAATCAAGTCTCAAGCAAAACGCGGTTCACGAGCCAAACTTTTCACCAAAGCCGCAGCTGGCTATCTTGTAACGAAATATTCACTTAGTAAAGCTCCGGTCTACTATGAAGAGTTTCCACTCCGTGAAAGATACGTGTCAATTCCCGAGAAAAGAGCGGTGAGATTATCATCTGAAAGAGTGAGTTTACTAGATTCGAATGGACACTTATGTCTGGGAAACTCCTCAATACCTCGGACCCTCAAAGACGGAATAGAAAAGAATCTATTTGAACTAAACACGACTGTGATCTACAAGACAAACCCAGATAACGTAATCAGACTGTACGGCGTTGATAACACAGTTCCACTGGAAGACATCAAAGACAAGAACTTCACAGTTACGACTCGTGCTCGGTATAATGTCACAGTCGTAGAAAACGTAAACTGCACCCAACAGGAAAACCAAGTCAATGGAACAATGATTCAGCTGTATGAATTCAACCCCAACAAAGCAAGCAAAGCCGGCATCAATTTTAAGTTGATTGTTACTCTAATCATGCTTAATGAGTATCATTCTTTATAAGGAAGCGAGGCTATAAAAAAAGATTTTGTTTTTAGTAGGCTGATGCATGAGTTTAACCCCAATGCAGGAAACACTAACGTCAATTATACTCTTATCTTAACTTTATGTATTGTTATTCCAAGTGTTTTCATTATCATTCCGACCCACCATTGTTGTCTTTACATATATACGTAAGGAACGCTTCCAGCGCTTCTAAGATAGTCAGATTTTTTATTAGGCTCAAAGCTAGTTCTGTAGTGTTTTAATGATGTTTTTATCAGGGGCCCCCAACGAGAATATAGTTCAAAACCACTTAAACATAGCATTGTTGAACGTATTTTAGTATTTAAACGGTAGATATAGGCATATTTTTATCCCCTAAAAATTTTTCATCTGTTCGGATTTCCTAGCTGAAAGTCTAGTGATCCGAAACTGAAAATTATAGGGATCAAACTTACCTTTTCGAAAGTTTCAGCCAGAAAAAAGGCTCCCGAAAATTCTAGGTGACCTTTTTAGGGTAAAAATACGTTAAAAATGGGCAATTATTCAGTTTTGGGGGGTTCGAAAATCTTAGGAGAGGCAGGCAAGCAAGAAATTTAACAACAAATGTTCCCAAAATTCTAGATCTCAAATCGTCTTCCGAACAGATATTTTTCCTAAAATTGTCGTTGGGTACCCCTGTTTTGTTGGCTGACTATGGCAATTCATAAAGAAACATGCATGCTAAGATTTGAAATGATCTCGGTCGTGGTTTTTCCCGAAATACCAAACAATTTAGAATTTAGCCACTATCGGATTGTATTGTACAAGCACAGCTCTCACTGAATGATCTGATTTCGAGTAACGATATTGTCCTTTAACCTCGAATAACGCAATTTTAAAATTTAACCACCGGTTTCGGACCGGTTAGGCCTAACACGAGGTTAGCTTAACACACACGTCTTAGCTTAACCGCTTCATTATATGTAAGACCCTGAAGAAGGAAGACCGTACCTTCCGAGATATTTGTAAAATGATATATATATTTCCGACTGTAAATCAGCCTTGCTTATTTCAGGGGCACCCAACATCAATTTTCGGAAAGTATCTGTTCGGAGGACGATTTGAGATCTACAATTTTCGGAAAATTTGTTGTAAAATTTCTTGCTTGCCTGCCTCTCCTAGGATTTTCGAACATCTAAAAAATGGTATAATTGCTCATTTTTAACGGATTTTTACCCTAAAAAGGTCACCTAGAACTTTCGGGAGCCTTTTCGAAAGCCTGAAATTTTCGAAAAGGTAAGTTTTGATCCCTATAATTTTCGGATTACTAGACTTTCAGCTAGGAAATCCGAACAGATGAAATATTTTTAGGGCAGAAAAATATGCCTATATCTACCATTTAAATACTAAAATACGTTTAACAATGCTATGTTTAAGTGGTTTTGAACTATATTCTCGTTGGGTGCCCCTGTTATTTTGTTTTATATTTTCACTTATTGCTCATTAGATCCTTTATTAGGATCCGGTCCGCTTCTTTTTTGTAAGCTGGTCCTTGCTTCAAAAATTGAATTAGTTTAACACGTCTTTTATTTGAACCGGATCCAGGTCATGATCAAAATAAAACCTTCCCATATTAGGCTCCCTTAGAATTAGCCTTCGAGCAAGTTCTCCGATGCGCTCTGGAGCGCAAGAGCGCTCCGGAGAGCTTGCTCGCAGGCTATCTTAGGATAGTGGTATTATTCAAATTTCCCGAAGAGCCATTTCCGCCTTTTCCACTCCTGTGTCCCCTCCCCCTCCTCCCCGGTGGTTTTTTTGAAGTCTTTTGACGTGTTTCAAGACTGATTGATGGCTGTGAAAGTACAAATCAAACCGGCCTTCAAATATTTTTCCTGACTGGAATAATAACTTTTATATGGGTTGAGTCCTCAAGCGGGCAAGATGAAGCAAATCTTGTGTTCTGATTGGCTACAAGATAGGCCTACCCTGTTCGCTCGGGATCATGAACAGTCCCGCCGTTGTCCCACAAGAAAAGATTTGGTTCTTGTCACACTGGTAATAACTCCTTCATTGGCCAAGGAGGATAGGTCAAGATGGCTTATCGGCTTATCTGTGGCAAGACAGGTTTGATTCGTGGGTGGTAAAACGCGCAACATTGCTTTTTGTTGTTGTTGCCCGTTTACAGTACAAATAGCTATTATACAGTCATCGTGATCTCACGCTTGGCCAAAAACCTTAACAATACTTGTCACATTTTGCCAAATACTTCCTCTAACTCATCAAGATAGCCCTGTAAAGTTTTTATAATGTATCCATTTTTGTTTTCGTCCAGAAATCTTCGAATGAAGGGTACTTCATCAGCCTGCCCCTTCACAAACTTTTCGAAATACAAACTATTGATGGCTTGCATCTTCTTCCGCTTCAGGATGATATTGGGTTCTGTAAACCAGTTTAGCTCCTGTTGTGCTCCAAATAATCTTTCATAGCTTAGTGCCGCGTCTTTTTCCAGGCGCAGCATCTCAATTATGCGCCCGATGATTACGCCGACCGGAAGTAGATCTAACGGCGGATCAGTCGAGATTGGCTTCCCATCTGCACCTCGCACCAGCCTCCTCGCGATTTCGAAAAGTAGCATAAAGTGCAGTTCGTTCATGGGGCTGACAGCGTTGAAAAGCGCTGATTTCATGCCACTCGTGTTCAATTTGTAGCACATATCTCCAAGGCCTTTGCTTGTCACCCCGCTTTTGGACAACAAAGTGCACATTTCTGGATAATCGTAGTATTTTAATCGCCCGACAACTTTTATCAGGCCATTTCCGGGTAAAAGCGGCGTCGGCATAAGCTCAACTTTGAATTTCTTGTCAGCGGCAAACTTGAGGTAGAAAGGACCGCTGTCCTTCTCTCGGTATTCCATGATCACGTGACGCAGAAGATTGACCACAGCAGACCCACTCATTCCCATGATTCCAAACGTGTATATATTACCAGTGCTCTCTTGGAGATCGGCCAGATTGATCTTTTTGGCATTTTTGACGAAGAACAGCTCATTGGCTTCGCTTTGTCGCTTGATCTCCTCTTTTATGGCCTTTGTTTTGTCCCTCCATCCTTCAAAGTTCCAATCCAACTTCACTACGCCCTGGCTGTCGCCCATGGGTTCCTTTTTTTTAACCAGGAGGAGAGGAAATTTTAGAAGAAAATGTTGTTGAATTTGTAGATCTGTAACAGAACAAAAAGCTTTTATATACATTTAGTATTATAACAGGCCACAATGTTCAGCAACTACTATAATTTGCAGTCTGTCTACTTTGAATTGGACCACTGACTCAATATTTTAGAAGAAAATGTTGTTGAGTTTGTAGATCTGTAACAGAACAAAAAGCTTTTATATACATTTAGTATTATAACAGGCCACAATTTTTAGCAACTACTATAATTTGCAGTCTGTCTACTTTGAACTGGACCACTGACTCAATGTTAAATAAAGAACTGCTTTCCACTTTTGTGCCAAACTTATTGTTGCAGGCGATAAACGTGTGGCGGTCATGTTCAACTAATCGAATTCAAGTTGTTAATGACGAAAGCCGGTACGAAAAAAAAAAGATTTATATCTTGGCCACGAATTCATAACTCAAATATTTTAAAACCCTCGCAACTGTTCCGCGGACCGGACTCAACAAAGTAAAGTGTGTCTAGCGAAAACAAAAGCGACGCCATTGATAATTTATTGCTTTATCTCTAAACCCAATTATGATACACTGGATGTTTTGTCAAAACAGAAAAGGACAAAGGGGAAAAAAGCAAACTTCATTAATTCACACAGGGAAATCATTCTTTGTGCCAAACATAAATTATCAAAATTGGCACCTGCACACCATCGTAAAAATTTTCGCCGTTTTTCGTTGGCAAAGCCTCCCCAGCTATTTATTAAACCAGTTTTTCATAAAGTTTTAAATGTTAAATTTACGAAAAATTTACGGCAAATTTCTGTTTCTAAAGACTTCGAGTTGATTATTTAAAAGATTAATAGATTCCCGAATGTTTTCTCAGTAGGAAAAAATAAAATAGACAGAGAGCAGGGCACACGTTCTCAAGGTTTCTTTGTTCAATTTCTTGTTTTTAGTTCTTTATTTTACTACATGACGACCTGTTTTAAATTGTTTTTTCTTCAGCCATATTCGATTCTACGGACTCTGACTTTCTTGAGAGGGCAGAGTTACTTGCAATTGTCAGTAGCCATTATGGAAGACTAATTATCATATTCTTTGAAATGATTCAGAGCAGAGAACTAAAAAGTCGAAACATAAAAGATTTGTTTTTCACCTTGACTCATTTTCACGGCTGTAAAACAACATTATGCTGAGATTAATTTATTTTATTACAAAAATGATGTCCCTTTTGAGTATTTTATATAAAAGTTTAACAGTAAAAGGAGAATTTTTTAAATGTTAATGTGCAAAATGTATATCGTGCCTTCGTTGAATCGCACGCGGTCCGAGAAGTCTTCAATGGCACTCATCGCAGGTCACGATAAAAACTTGTGTCACGCACTGCGTTCTACTTGCAATATTAACCCTCACTGAAACGAAGATGAACTCCATGGCAGCAGTATTCAAACCGTGCTATATATCGAGGACAAATTATTCTAAAACCTAACACTCATTGAATGAGTAGATGACAGTGACGCCCAAACCGTGCAATCAGTTTTAGAACATAGGTTACTTTCAATTTGACTGCTGACACTAACTTTTTCTCACTGGTTTGTCATATATATTATTTCGTGCTTTTATTTGAGGCCCTAAACCATGTACGAACGTAAGAGTGCGATAAGACTGCCTTAACTTGGCCAAGAAATACATGTGCTTTCATTTTAAGCTAATCGACTTGCTACGCCATCACCTATTCAAGAGGTAAGTTACAAAATATTTCGAGCGCATTAATCTCTGTGACATTAAAAGTATTTTGATCGCTTGTCTAACCATAAAAAAGGCTGAACACCTTTTCAAATTACTCATTAGCCATAAGGAATCTAATCTTACCTTGAATATTCCAAAAACGAGTGAAGTTTTAGAACAGAAAGACAGCAGATTTGGATCGCTTCTGCTAAGTCGTATCACAGCGCAGATGTTGCCACGAGGTAACGCCGCAACAAGACAAAAACATCGATTTTGAGTTTTAATTTCGTGTTTTTGTTATGATTATCAAGTTATGCGAGCGAGGTGGCCTGTTGTATCTGGTTCTGGGATAACAAAATAATCGATTTTTGGTCAGTAAAGAACTTTTGCGTTTCCGACCCAACACTCCCAAGTAATGTCAAGTGTAAAATGCTGTCAGCTGTCCGTGTCGTACGAAGGCGGGTTTCCCATTGCGCTCCTTTCAAAACGAAACAGCAGTACTTGAAACATAAATTTGCACTTTGAGTGATATAATTTTTTACGCAGTGACCCTTTTAGTATTATCGGCGGGTGGAGTTACCGTAACGTTACATGTTTCAGAACACGTTTCCATAATCTCTGTTCTTTTCTGCAAGAATTCTCGGATTCGTTTGCTCGGCTTACTAAAACGATCTGAAATTTTGCACTGCTGTGACGTGGATGAGGCAATAAGGTTTCCATTTCAAAGGCAGTTTAGAAAAGAAAAATAAAACATTCGGCGTTGTGTGAAGTAAGGGAACTTCAATCAAACAAAGGATTCGCGTGAAGAAGAACCGAAGCTGTTGCCATTTTCATTTTTCAAGAAAGACCAACTCATTTCCAACTGCGCTCTAGTTTTATACGCTGTTAAAAGAAAGCGACTTTAGAGGTTGCAATTTTTCACAACTTCCGTTTTAGTATTTGTACTGTAAGCAGATAAAGAGGAAGCCAGGAGACCGGATGTTTTGAATTGAAATAAACTCTTGACAGGCGCCAATGACCACGTGATTCAATGCGCTGGACGCGCCCACTCGTTTGCTTGTCCTGGTAACGCAACCTTCTCTCCTGGCGCCTCGCCGCGAGTATCCTGAGTATCAAGCCTTCCTAAGGGGCTAGGGGAGAGGAGATTTTAGATGGGGGTGAGGGGAGGGGGAGAGAGCTGAATGAAGCTCTCTCCCTTTTTCGCTTCCATCTTTCCTCCTTTCCCCCAGAAACGCCTGATGCTCAGGCTGCGCCGCGAGGAACGTTTTTTCTTTCTCTCTTGCGAAACGTCCCTGATACACGCCAATGACCACGTGATCCCACGCGCTGCTCTTAACCTCGCCCACTCGTTTGCCCAGGCTTAGCGCCTTTGATTTCACGAACACAGTCAGGTTTTTCAGAGGTTCTCGTGAGCAAAACAGACCTTATTCACGATGCCTCAAACTTCATAATTCATCAGAACCTACTCAGCCTCATCCAAATTATAGTAAATAATGATATTAGTGTTTAAAGTATTTTGAGAGAGAACCTCCAGGTCTCCCCCTCAGAAAACTACCCTGGTCAAAGGGTGGATCCCAATGGAAGCAAGAACTGGGCATTTCCAAGACCTTTTGATATAAAAGACAAGTAAACGGATCTTCTGCCTCTGCAATGATGCATCCTTACAGGGCAACTATCATCTTTGAATATCATACCAATCTCTATAAATAATGCCCTAGGATGGGGGAAGGCGGGGGGGGTGAACTTCCTAAGGCAGGGGTGCATGTGTTTCAAGGGCATAGCTGAAATTCATTTTCAACCCCCATTCCTCCCACCCCAAGGTGCCACTGACAATTTTTTTTTTTTCACTGGTAGTTAAGATGACCATATTGACTTAGGGGGTGTTTACATGAGAAAACTCCCACCGGCGCGAGTTTCATACCAGGATAACTTTTTGATTTCGTATCGCGTTTACATGATGACTGGGCCATTTCATATCCCTTTATTTGAAGGTACACTTCATGTTATTAAAATACACGTCTGATTCAAAATCAGAAACATTACGCACGCGCTACCCGTTCCAGTCTACCGGCAGACCGATTTCACATTGAAACTGGTGGTCGTTTCGCGTTTACATGATACTGTTGTGAGATTTCGTACCGGAATGAAATTCTCGCCCCAGTACAAGAACCGGGGTGAACTCACGCCGGGGTGACTCGCGCCTGCATGACATTTTGTGGTGGTATCATGTAAACAAATATAGAGCCACGAGAGGGAACCGGAGTGAACTCGCTCCGCGGCGAAAGCCGCCCCGGTGTCATCTAAACACCCTCTTACGAGTAGTTATAACCCTAGCAGTGATCACCTCTCATATTAGCATCCTCATAGGCAGTACCAATACAAACATTTTGGGTTATTATCTGAGTAAAAAAATATCTGTGAAAGTTTTCTTTGTTTTGACACTATTATTTTCCTAGTCGTTGACTCCTTTGTTATCTTTGTTTTATGACAATCGTGGTTTTTACATCCTTTATAGGGGTATCTCCTGGGCTTTTCTGTGCAAAAAAAATTGAATTTAGAGTCATATGACAAACACGCTTAAAGTAACATTTTTGATATTCAATTATATTGGCCTATCACCAGTGGCAGTCATAAATTTTACGTTTCTTCTTAGTTCGTACTCCTACAGTAGTTCAGACAAAACAAGGCGGTGGCTCCTCTTCTTGCGGTAGAAACACATCTCCAAATGGATTTACCTCTTTAAACACACCTCTTCCATTTGCTCCACCATTTCCTATATCAAGTGACGAAGAGCTAGTACTGGCTCCTGGTTCATATCCACTGTCAGCTCTTTTGACTGGTGAATTTGTGTTGCCATTTACGTCTTCATCCTCGCTATCCAACAAATCAGTTTCTCTGGGGGCGCCATTAAGAGAAACCTTTCCTACGTTAGGCGTGGTACAATAGTCAGAATCTTCTAAGATACTTAGACATGTTAAAACACTCTCGAAGGCGTCTCGATGTTTCAAAATTTCGTCCAGAACTCTTGAGCGATTCTTTAAATATTGAAACAGTTGCTCCTTTTCGCTCGCTTCTTGGACAAGCCTCTTGATTTCAGCCTCCGATGATTTGAGTTTTTCTTTCAGTTCTGTTATTTCTTCATCTCTCTGTCTCAAAGTTTGATGCATTCGAAGAGGAAGGACCTTTAAATTCTCGGCGTGTGCTTCGTTTTGCTTCTTCAGAGCCCCCGATAATTCTTTCACTTGTTCCTCAAGCTCGTGAATGCGTTTCATTAATCCTTGAATATGAGTATTTGCTTCTTTAATGGCTACTGGCGAAAAATCCATGTTGATGGAAGGAAATTTATAAAACTTACTCGAAAATTTCAAAACACAAACGAAGACGGAAATTGCTTGGCATCACCACAGGGCGCCATGATTGTAATCAAATCATTCCGAGGGAGGGGAGGCTAAGGTTACACTTATTAGTTTTAAATCTTAATAGTAAAAGGAAATGAAGAAGTCTGACTACCAAGATACTTTGAACTATTAACTATTGAACTTTTAAGACATTTTAGACTTGATATGCATTTCAAGGTAAGAAAATAACTGGAATTTACAATTTAAATTCACGCCGTCCCCGTCCCCTCCCCATCTCAGATTTATTTCGTTTCTAATCCTGAACAGCGGATTCTGGTAAAAAACAGCAGCTGAATAAGATGGCGGCAGCTGATCTGAAAATGAACGATCTTGACTCTGTTTTGGATTTAGTTCATCAACAAGCTGGTAAATTTTTTACGGCCATGTAAGTTTAACTTTCTCTTTTGTAAGAAAAAAAATCGTGGTTTCTTTGTCACCTTTGACCAACATCACGGTGGACAATGATGAAACAGCCTGATGAAATTAATTTGAAAACATAAACTTACGTTTATGCACGCTTTAAAAGCGATGTACGCGTTGTGGTTCAATTTTATCCTTGGTTTAAAGTGTATTTCTTTTTGTTTAAGGGTATGGTAATGTATGGTAGTGAGTTTAAAACAAAGGGAAATTAAATTTAAACCAAAGATAAAATTGAACCACAACGTACACACCCTACGAGAGAAGCAAAGACTTACGACAAATATAATGATTTTAATATTTTTTGTAGGCAAATGGGATCTGGTATGTCGTACTCAATTGAGGATGCCAAAAGTAGGTACCAATGTAAACGATTAACTTTTAGTAGGATGTAGATCTAGAAAATTGCCATACTCCCCCGGCCATTGGGAGTTTATATTGGTTTGTTCCTTTCCCCACCCCTTCTGGAAATTCCAGTTTAGCTGTTCACTTTCCACTACAAATTTTAGCTTTCAATACCACCCTCCCCCCCCACCCCAGAGATTTCGAGTGTTCCTCCATGGGGTGGGTACTCCTGTTTTGGTTTTAGGGAGCAACAATCTTGGTTTCAACATTTTGAAATCTACTTAGGGCTCAGGGGCGACAAAATTTTTCTTGTTCCCTCCCCTGAGGCCCTCTGAGGGAGGGGTTTGTATGTCCCTAGTCTGAACTTCAAATACAGAGGAAGCTCTCGTGAGTGGACACCCTCGGGAAGCGAAAAAGTTTTCCGTAACTGGGGCTGGCTGCTTACGGGAATGTCAAAATACAGAGTTTGTATGGGAGTTGAGAAAAACGGCATTTTGTGAGGGTGGCCGTAAGTAGAGCTTTCCGCTTATGAGAGTGTCCTTTAGGAGCTAGAGCTTCCACTGTACAGTCATTTGACAGTTTGAGGAGTAGGATGTTTCTCTGGTGGTGCTACATGTAACTCATTCATTTCATGTAGTCGTGTGCCGCTGTTTCAAGGCCTTGTCACTTGTCAAAATTTTACCCTCACAGGGCCTCTCCTCCCACCACTTACAATGACCACCCCTTTAGTACATATGAAACCAAGATGACTGCACCTGGCAGTAAGTACTCATATGGAAAAATAGGAGGCTATGAACAGTCAAGACAAGCCCTTGGTGCAGGTCTCAACATTGTCTGGCTTTAAGAGACTTTCACTATTATATTACTCTGCAACAGTACAGAAAAACTCCGTAATTCGGCCCTGTTGTTTGAGAGGGGCTAAGGCAGCCACCGATTAATTTAGTTCATTTCCTTTTACATGAACTAGCTGACTTGGATGGCTTGTCCAAACTGACAGACACGCTTCACGAAAAGCTCCGGTCCTCCGGTGTAAATGCCATTCCATTAGATTCGGAAATGTTACAACTGGATTATCAAGCAACAGTTAGAAAAGGACAAGAGGAAGCAGAACTTAGTCGCAACACCATGCAAAGAGTTCAAACAAACTGTGTTACACTTCGCAAAGCAATGAGTGTACCACGGAAATAGTGATAATAAGAAATGGAATTTATGTAAAAGCCATGTTGTTTCAAGGAGGTATGGTTAGTGAAATCACCATCTATTCAAACGGTGGGTAATGCCATCCATTTCATAAATACAAGTCATTGGTGTCCCTAATACTTATCCACTGGAAAGTGATATATTTGGTAGATAGCGCTATCCATCCTTTGAACACTGAACCAGCGCCTGAAAAGGACACTGAAGCAGTAACAAGTTTTAACAATACGATGGACATTCAACGTCATCAAAAGGTTTAAGGATAAAAAACTGCTTACAAAACTGACAAAATTGCAAGGTGAAGTAGGATTTGAAAGGATAGTCAGACGTTTGCACATTCTTAATCTCAGTCCTCTTCTCTAATAAGCATGAAAATGGATGAGAAGAGCGTTGGGTCATGTGTAGCTGTAAGATCTGAAGGCTCTGGTGATGAGATTGATGTTTGCAATAATATTCTGCCATGGCATGTGAGTGGACAATTATTACAGTCAAAGCAGACTTACAGTGTGCACTTTATGACACATTCGAAAGTAAACTAAAATGTATGGGAACCTCTCTTTAACAATTTCAATAACATGGAAACTCAAAAGTCAAAGAATGGAACCAGTTATGGTTTTTGCTTCTGTCAATCTTAATTACAACAAAACAAAACAAGCAAAATGAATTCAAAATCTAGATATCACAACTGACAGACATGACCTTTAAAAGCTGCTGAAGAAAAGCTGTGTTTCCTGAGTAGTTTGTCAGGGTGATTGACAGAAGCAAAAAAACGTGAAACATTGGTTAAAGTTTTGACTTTAGGTTCGCATGTTACTGAAAAGCACAGTAAGGCTTACAAGATCACCTCTCTAGGAAAATGAAAAATTCACGCTTTGCAGGGTTACTGTCTGACCTTATTGTAAGACAATTGTCATGCTCAAATACAAATTATCAGAATGGTGTATGGCACATCAATCAATTTACACCTCCACTTTTCCACCTCTGTTTTGGTGTCTTTAATTTTAACGTTATGATTGTAACAATACAGTTCTATAGAGCGAATTAATATGATGTAAATCTCTTGGTCAAAAAAGAAAATCATCTATCTGTAAATGACAATCTGGGATAACCTCTGCGCTCAAATGTATGATCATAATTGAGTACAACTACATTATATCTAAATATTAGGCTAAACTAATATGATTAAATCTCTTTTACTTTAGTAGACATAAAATTATTATGTATATTTTTATGAATAAATTAAATTTTAACCTCCAAAACACTACCTCTGAAATAGAATTTATCATCAGAGTTCCTTTAGTAACTTTAAAGATTTCTCTCCACGCATTAATTTAATGGGTATTGAAAAAAATACCTTCTAATACACTCGCGCCTCGATTATCAGGACCTGGGTTATCCAGACTTGTTTCTCTGGTCCCGTTTCTTTTCATGAATATTAATAAGATGTGATCTTGAACAACTGAAATGATTAAAAGTTCAATTATCCGTCCAAACATGTGTTTGAAACACTGTTTTAATCTGTTTTGCGTTGAAAAAACACGACCGACACGAGATGAACAGTTGTTCTGATGCATTCAACTGAATTCTGATTGGCTCAATTTTCATGTTGCTATGGGAATGTGATGCTTGATTCCATGTTGGTTATGTAAACATAAGACCACTTGATGGTAAACTCAAATCGTAGCCATGTCTACACAACCAAAGCAGTCCGTTCTCTCAATAAAGGATGAGCAAATGATTATTTCACGTTTGGAGAAAGGAGAAAAAGGAACAAATATATTTAGCACTCGAGTTTAAAATCAGCAAGCAGCAGATCTCAGATAGTTTTCATTTTTGTCTCATTAATATTCATATTATCCAGACTCTCGATTATCCAGACTTAATTTACTCAAGTCCCAAAGAGTCCGGATAATCAAGGCTCAACTGTAACCTATATTTTAAACTATCAAACAGCAGTTATTTTAATAATTTTCCTCAGATACATTTCTGTCACGTTCAAACTATCAATAAAAAAAGTCATTTCTCTTCATGCTATGTTAATAAAAATATCTAGTTATATATTTCATTAAGGCATGAAAAACTACTGAATTATCAGTTCCATAATGTTGCTATAACATAGTCTATAATTTAGAGATTATAAAATGGTAACAGTTCCACAGAGTGTAAAATAATGACAATTTGAAAACAAGTTACAAAAATTCATTTTTGCTAATGATAATTTGTATTTATCTACTGGGTACAAAATTTCATACATGAATTGGCAAAAAATGTTATGTTGTAAAAATTTGTTCTTAAACCCTTATAGGCTTCTGATAAATTCATAGATTCTCATACAAATTTCCTTGTTTTGCTGGTGACTAAAAAATTGGGTGTTACGTGAAAAGTCACTAGAGGATTTATCCCATGCATCCCTTCTATTAATGATGACGGTAGTGGAACACGCCCTCAGTTTCAATGCGTAAAATGCATCTAGTAATCAAACCTAATATATTTTTGGTTAATGTAAGAACAGATCACAACCAATCTCTATAAATTGCTCATTCTTCACTAAGGCAGCGGAGCTGTCTGTGATAACTCCTGCATCATCATGTTGGAATCGCCACCTTCAACTGGTTCATAGCCACGCAGAAGACTGGGGACCTGGCTTCCATTGCCATATGTCCACCAAACAGCAATCACCAACCCCAAAACACAAAGCAGTAGCACAACGCCAACTATCACCAGTGCAGTGGGACTGAAATCCTTCTCCTTCGTGACTTCTTTCTTTCCACTTTCTTTTGACTTTGCAACTTCAGCATCATTTTGTAACTGGTGGGGAACAAAACATGGGTTGTTAGAGTGGAGTCTGCTAATGAGTTGCCAAGGGACGACTTAAACCACGCTATCTGTGTTTGGCTTAACAAAGTTCTTGGTAATAGAATTGGTAACAAAAATGATTTAATTGCAGGGCAAATCCTTCCAACAAAACAAGCCCCATCTCTACAGCCATGGTAGCATGTTTAAAAGGGGCTTAAAGATTGAGTGCCTTACACTTGCTCCAGCAGCAAAGGGCATTTCATACATGGTTACGCAGGGCTTGAAAACAGTCCTAAGTAGATTTTCTATTCAGGCAAGTAACTTTTCACACTTACACTTATGTATGTGTTGTAGTTAATTTTTTATCTCAGGTAACTTTTGTTTGTCTTTTGTTTTTTGGTATGGTAATATATGTTAATGATGTTGAAACAAATGAAAAATAAAAATTACCTGAGATAAAAAATTAACTACAACATATGTACATGTACTTGCCTGATCGGCAAGGGCCCAGCAAGTCATCTTCTGACTAACAAGTAAACTGACAGGAGCATGTACATTGTAGCTTCCCCCATCCCCCTGGGAACAAGCAGAACTTAAGAGCTGCTTTCACCTGGAATTAAAAGTTGTTTTCAAGCCCTGTACTTTCAAGCAATGTAGTCTCCCTGGGGGTATGCCACACTGATGAGTCCTAACAAGTCAAGGCAACCATTCCCAGGGTGGCATGGTCTTAATTTACACACACTACTGGGTGTTTACAGCATCCTTACTTGAAGGTTGGCAAGTGCTCCAAGAGAATCATCGGCCTCAGGAGGTTCTGTGGGCTCTGGGGGCTCCGTTGGTTCTATAGTGGTAGCTTGGGTTGTGGTAGCAGCAGCTGTGGTCGTGGGTATTGGGGCTTGTGTTGTTAACACCTTCGTGGATGGTTTTACTGTTTTTGTACTTGCAGGTTGCTGACTTGTCTTCTGTTTTGTTGATGGTTGTCCTGTGGTTACTTTTAATGTACTAGTGCTTTGCCTTGTTGGAGGTGCATACTTGGTAGTTGGGTGTCCTGTGGTTGATTTCATAGTGCTTGACTTTTCTGTGGTTGGTTTCAGTGTAGTTGGGTACCATGTCGTTTGACTTTTTGTAGTTGATGGCAGTGAAGTTGCTTGTTTTCGTGTTGTTGGATTAGATGATGCTAAGTTACCTGTGGTTAGTTTCATAGTGCTAGACTGGCCTGAGGTTGGTTTGAATTTAGTTGGAAAGACAGTTGTTTGGGTTTTTGTACTTGGTGGTACTGTAGTTACTTGTTTTCCCGTGGTTGGATTTGACGATGTTGGGTTACCTGTGGTTGGATTCAGAGTGCTTGACTTCCCTGCAGTTGGTTTCATTGTTGTTGGCATGCCTGTTGTTGGACTTCTTGAAGTTGTAGATACTAGTTTCCCCGTAGTTGGTTTCACAGTACTGGGAGTCCCTGTGCTGGGTATCACAGTTGTCAAAGGAATGGATGTTGGGCCCCCTGTACTCGGTGGCAGTGTTGACGGTTTGGTTGTCGGTGCAGCTGTAACACACTTATTATTTCTGTACACATGTGTGTAATGGCAACTTTTAACACAACTGTCAGCCTTTAGAGAGAAAAATAAAACAAAAATAAATGTGCATGACATGGGAGGACCCCCTTGTTATACCATAAACACAAAAAACTGACAGAGCTACTAATGATACCTAAAAGCCAAGTAAGCTTTAACAGTTCCCTTAAATCATGTTACAACAACACCTACCAAAATTCTATTGTTGTAAATTCCTCCATCAACATAGCAGGCATTTGCACCAGTCCACCCCCACCAGCAGAGACAACGCCCATTGGAGAGACACTGTCCAGTACTGTGATAAGTTGGACCTGCAACCAAAATTCAGTGACACTCTCAAACAAGACTGGAACATCTTGTCAAGGGAGTGGGGAAGGGGAACCTTCTTTTACCTCTGCCAAGCACAGCAGAAGAGTGTGAAATCTTTCCTGCATTCTGCCTTATAAGCTTGTTTGAAAATTAAAGAATCAGTTCCATATATCATATTTACTTGAACAGTGTGGCCCTTGAATACATGTCACACTTAGGAGCAAAAATCTGAATACTTAGCCTTACACTCCCTCCCCACCCCAAATAAGCAGCACAACCTAAAAAGAGTAGCGCTTACCGTGGGGGACTGTGGCTGGTATTGTCTTTGCTGTGAGTATACTCTCCCTAGTGTCTGTTATAATTGTGCTTTAGTAAATAAGCAACTCTTGAGATTCTATCTATAATACACTGCTTTCAAGGAACAGATACTAGTTACCTGAACCACATAGTGGATCACAGGAGAGGGGTGGCACAGTTTTGTTAACTGGCACACTGCACACTTGGGGGATAGTTGGTTTCACTGTGCTTGGTATCCCTGTTGTTGGGCTTCCTGTACTCAGTGGCTGTGTTGATGGTTTGGTTGTTGTTGAAGCTGTAACACATTTGTTATTTCTGTAAACGTGTGTGTAGCTGCAGCTTTTAGTACAGCTATCAGCCTTTGAGGAATAAAAACAAACCCGTGAGCGTGAAATAAATTTTGCAGGGTACAAAAAAGTCAGTTTTACAGCTTACCCTTTGGGCAAGTTTTTAACTAGCATAATGTGATTACTAACTAATCCAAGGGCCATTTTAAATAGCCTGAAAAAAATTTTGACAAGCAGGATTGATTACAGTTCTTCTGTTATTTGAATCATCCCAAAAAACTTCACTAGCCCATCAGGCAAGTTAAGAACAAAATTTACCAGGCCAATACCAAAACTCACCATCCCTGTGCTATCAGACATGCCTTTCTTAGCCACTCCTTTTTGTTCTGTAAAGGAACCAGCCAGGAGACCCAAGACAATGTAGCAAAGTAAGTCAACCAAAATTCAGGCCACCCCGACCCCTACTACCCTCTTTTTTTCACTCCTCAATTCTCTTCTCCTCGCTACAACATGATCCTTACCACAATTCTGTTAGTGTACATTCCTCCATTGATATAAGTGGCATTAGGGCCAGTCCAGCCCCACCAGCAGAGACAACGCCCATTGGGCAGACATCTTCCCAGGCCATTGTATGTCCCTGTGATGATTTACAAGTCAACCAGTATTAATTATAAAAATAATAATATTCTAGTTTCTAAAAGAAAAACAGTGCCCCGAGATTTTCAGTTCTAATACTCAGCTTGGCTTTCTGCGGCTCCTCTTAGAGCAGAGCGCTGTAACCAAGGCAAAGAATGTAGTGGTATCACTATGCACTGGTAAAAGAGCCAGGAATATACCTTCACAGCAACTTCAGTTTGGGATATTGCTTGCATGCATGTTTTGAGAGTTAATACTTTTTAGAAGGATTTAAGAACCTTTCTAAGCTACATAATTTTTGTGATTATGAGTAGAAAACTTTTAATTATTTTTTACACAAAACAATGAAGCTTTTCTTGGCCTATATGCCATGCAGATGATTGTTCTCATACCAACATAACTACCAAAGAGAAATTGCGAATGCCTTAAGCTTGTTGTACTGTTTTTGCACAGACTAAAAAGAAACCATTTTTTCACTTACAGTAACATCTCCAAATAATAGAAACACTAAAAAAGATTTTTTGCCACTTCCGAACAACATTTTATTAACTAATGAGCTACCAAAATATTAGACATCAGCTGTACCTGTGCCACATAATGGATCACATGGGGACCTCGTGGGGGTAATGGCACACAAAGGATTTTGAAAGTCATGAGTATAATGGCATGCAGTTGTGCAGTAGTCTGCCTAAAAATAAGGAAGAAAAAGCAAATTAATCTTTCCTTACTCAGCTGTAGCCTTACAGAAAACAGCCGTTTCCCTATGAAACGATGTCTGAAGAACTAATGAGGGTATTGATATAGACCTTTTTACCAATACAGCAGCCATATTGAATTAATTCGATTAAAGGAGTATTATAGGATGCCCAGGGGGTATGAGGACATTTCGTTTGTATTTTTGAGCACTTTTCGGGACATTTTTTCTTAAAGTTTTCTTAGAATAACATTGTAATGAGAGAAAAGATCCTAGTGCCGTGTTTGGATGTAATAATGTCAACTTCAACTTTATTTAAATTTGGAAATATAACAAAAGATACATTGGGACTGGCCTGCAGTTAGCGAGGCTATTCGCTTTTTGGTCTTTCACTGTATATTTCTCAGGCAAAAAGGTGATCCAAACATGGCACAGGGATCTTTTTTCCCATTACAAATGAGAAATGAGAAGTTAAATTTTAAAACAATAGGTCAAAGGGTCATGTCAACCATACAGTTACACAAAGAAAACTTTCATCTAAAGTTTTGAAATCCCAGTAGCTTTAGCACTAGCCATGTGCATATGGATATGCAAAATTAGGTGCGACATTCTGAATGCACTCAGGGCTGTCAATAAGGGCCGGTAGCCGGCCAAAACCGCCGGCTAGTTCACCATCCTTAGCCGGCTACTTCCATCTCCTTCTACCATAAGTGAGTCATGACTGCTAAAAAAAAATAAGCACCATCGAATAAAATTGTGAAGCATCCGTTTCCCAGTTTTGAATGACATTGAACGCATATTTAAACAGCTTCAGATCTGTGAAACGTTCGAACCGTGCGACGTCGTGGAACGCCTGGGACATTTCGACGGCATTGCTTCCAGTCTTGCGTGTATTCCGACGAAACAACATGGCGTCCGCGGTGGAAAATACCTATTGAACACCCCAGGAGACGCGATTTCCGAGACTCTAAATTTCAAAATGTCCCTAGATGCCTCCGCGCTCAAGAACTTGTGCCTTTGGTGCGAGTTCCAAAGCCGCCTACTATTCATTATCAGCCTGCTACTGAAAAACTTTTTGACAGCCCTGGCACTGCACAGCTATCAGGGATGTAGCTAAGGAAAAGATAACAAAGCTTTTTTATTAGTCAAGCTGGCTGTTTTATTCAACTACATCTTCAAAATTACCCCTTGCCTTTGTTTTCCAGAGCAATTTAAGCCAATGGTAAGCTATTTTTCAGCCGGTGAAATTAGCCGGCAGCCGGCTCTTAGCGGCATCCCTGAACCATAGACGCATGTGAACTACCAGTAGTCTATAAGGGACATAGGAGTGAAAGAAATAAATGAATCCGCATTACTGTTCTCGAACCAGAATACATGAAATCAGGTTAAATGTTTTTTTCTGATTTCCTTGTTTGCTTGTTTTTCACCGTAAATTCTAAGGAGGTCACTCAGCTCTTACCAGTATTCTGTTCTTTAATGACCCAGATACAATGTACTTTGCATTAGGCCCAGTCCATCCCCACCAACACAGACATTGTCCATCTTTCAAACACATTCCTTGACCACTGCAGCTGGGGTGACAAGGAATTGCTGTATGGATAGGAGACATATAAGTTATGTATTTGCCAGATCCAGATTGGAAAATTGGTCAGTGTAAAATGCCGCAGACTGCAGACTATTGTTTTCACCATGCAAATGAGAACATGACAACAATAGTCCCATTGTTTTCTAACCCTAAAAACAATAGTCCAAAGTCAGTCGGCAGTCTGCATCTTACACTGCCCCATCGGAAAATAAAAAAATGTACCATATGATCAAGATCAGCATTTTCCAGGCTGAAGTCAGAGTATTTCATGATCTGTTGCCTTAACTCACAGATATAGAAGAAAACTTCATACATATTTTTTCTCCACCACCAAGGTTTTCTTTTGTACCTTCCCTCTTCTGAATAAAAGATTTTGCTTTCATCGTGGAAGCTTTAAGATCATATTATAGTCTCTCTCAAGTTTGTTACTAAATATTTGCATAATCACCAGAGTTCCACTGCAGTACTATTATACCATTCCCTTCATTTACTTTCTTTTGGATGATGCAATCCTTTCAAGCTATTTTAAAACTTGAGTTGATTATCACAAGTATTTTAGAATTTGCTATACTAAAGTGAGGTTTTAAGCTACTTTATATAGTTTTACCTGCGTTTATAGATATAAATTCAAACACCACCACAACAATCGCACTCAAAATGACCTTCGTCATTATAAATTGGACTGCCTGACTTTCAGTCTACCTTGTAAAGAAAATAACAAGTTTTAATACAATGCCTTAATAGTAAGCAAAGCAGGAAGTTTGTTAGGGCTCCAAGATTAAATAATATTTAAACTAGAAAATAGTAGTTCTTCCGGGCTTCCATGGAAATCCTCATCAACACATCATTGCATGTGCTGATGTCTGCTGATTCCCTTGCAGCGAAGTATCTGAACATGACGAACATGAGCCAAAAGCGTTCGGGTCTCGACACAACTTATATAAATGAATATAACAGGCTAAATAATTATTTCATAGAGTTATTTCCAACAAACAAACAAAATCACAGCAGCTATTCATGTCAGAATATGGCACCATTTTCCTTTTGAAAAATCACGAGATTTCGACTGAAATCTGAAATAGGCTTATGCTTACCGCTTCGAGAAACTTTACAACACGCTTGATGTATTTAAAAAGGAAATTTTAATGTTCTACAACACGATAAATGTTAACGTTTCTAAGGTAGTTTTACTAACCTTTTTAGCGAAGTAATAGGGATATTTGTCGAAGAATCAAGACAGAGAATAAACACATTCCAAGAAACCCACCATAAAATTACTCCGTTACTTGAGGGATTAAAAGAACGTAACTTGAGCCGCTGGAAGTAAAACAGTCTGTGATTGGCTGCCGCTGATTCATTCCCAATCCCCTGACATCATTTCTTCAATGGTAGAAGGCTGCGCATTGGCTGCGATGTGGAGGCCAGAAATTAACAGAAAATTAGGCATTCGGCGCGATCTTTGTGAAAGGACCCAGTGATTTGTGTAAATGACAACAGTCCCAACGGAATTTTCAAAACTGGAATATTGGTTTTGAAATTTTACAACATAAGAAAGCTTACTGAATCAAATAACTTTAAGAAAACGTTTGGTAATCTTTGACATTGGGGACCTCACTATGCTTTCTCTCGCATTCACTCAATTCTTCGTTTCCTCTCGAACCTCTCTCGTAAAGGTATCTGGAATAATAATAAAAAAAGCGATGGGCTTTTGCACTGGTTTTGTTTCAGACATTTCACCGTATTGAAGGATACCAAGAGCCCTTAAAGTAAGGAACAAGACTAGACATCGTTCTGAGACACTAGCACACTTTGCAGAAGGTTTACTACACAGTCAAAATGGTTCTAGATCGTGGAAAGTAGGTATTTCCATATCAAAGGGAAAAAAAAACCTGATATAAAACCTTACTTTTCAGACGCAAGAAAGTGTTTTAAATGAAAACAAAACACCCTTGCTTCTTAAATAGAAGATCATGCACGTCGCTCCCAGTAAATATTTGATTTTCTTTTGAAGGAAGTGTGCCAGCCACGGTAGCTCTTGGTGTCTCGCAGCCAGGGCATATGCCACATTTCTGGGATTTAGTGGATTAAAATTTTTCAGTCTCTGTTCACACTATATCCTGGGTAGCTTTTACGCCGGCACAAAAAATATATATAAGGATGGGGCCTCCGTTCACACGGCACAAGAAAAGGTGATTGCGACGCGTTTTTTCTGTAATGGAGAAAAACTCCGCTGCGCCGATCTCTCGCCGAGCGTCACATATCAGATAGGTCAGTGTTCATACTTGATAACGGATAGCTTTTGTGTCCGCACGAAAAACTATTTAGTATGGTGTGAAGAAATTATAGCCTCATATTTAATCTCCAGTCTGCTACTAGTCTCTCATTTCATTATAGGAGTCAAGCATGGATTTTGAAGTTTTTTTTTGGAAAACAATCCCACCAATTTGCTTCCTAGATGCCTATTCATATGGTGGGGAGGAACTTATTATAAGCGAAAAAGTCAAATACTAATATCCATTGTTTTTAATTTAATATACTTGCAAGACTAATTCTGTTTCTTTCATATTTTTTAAGACAAATTTCTTTGACATTCAAACGCCTAAAAGAAAGATGTAAGATGATAATTGAGCCAGTTAATATAGTTGTATAATAAGTATCAAGGTTGTTTTCGTTTAAAAATACTCATTTTGTAAATAGGATAATTTCAACTATTAATTTATTTAATTTTTACATTCGGCTGATCCGTTACGATCCGGTACGCCTAATCTTAAACCAGTCAAACACGCCAACTAAACCTACCAATTCTCTCTTAAAACCAGAGAGATCGATTAAAAAATCTGTTGGTAAACCGTGTTTCCGTTCTCTGTGCTAAGTAATTCCATGCGGAAATCTGCATGTGGCATACTGTGGAAATATGGTGGCTGCCGGCCTTAGTATTGACGATTTAGACACGAATATTCGTGTCCTCAAACTCAGCTTCGAATTAGATTTCATTAAATACTGACGATTAGAACTTTTCATGGACTGGTTCACGGATGAGATAGCAGCGACATACAGGCCTTTGACTCTCCTGGTTAAATGGATCTGTTTGTGCGCAAACATTGCGGATATGCAAATACTGTGATCATCGGGTTTTAAGGTGCAAGAAGGAAGCATAACAAAGAACCTTTGCACTGTAGTGTACTGTATGTGGGTCCTCGGGTAACAGAAAACGAGTAAGAACTCATTAGACAAGACATTTTTAGGAAATAATATATCAAACTGACGGCATAAACTTCCACATATTGAACAATCAGCATGTGTAACAGCACACTCGTTATTGACCAAGTGTGACGTCAATATCTGGCTAGATATTGGTCACGTTTTTTATGCGTTTTTTATGGATGGAGAAGTCGCGCAAAAGAAAGAAAAAGCTAAAATCCCATATCGACCTTACGCTTGTTCAATAAAGGATTTATTATATTTCCGAAAGAAATTATGACGTTTGAGAACAAGCTGAGCAATCGAAAGCAAGCGAGCATTACAGACTCAACTTCTTATATTGCTTAGTTAGCTAATCAGAACACACTTCATTTCAGTTTCATTGAAAACGCCAATGGAAGCAGCGGAAGCCCACCAATACACTGCTTTGTCTTGTTTTACTGTCTTAATCTACAAGTTCAGTTCGATAAGCTGTACCTATGAACTCTGAAAAATTCTACTCCTGAAGACCAAACGGAACGATAAAATGACAAATCCGAGACTCCAAGACCCATCGGCAAAAATTTTGAGACTTCAAGACGTAAAAATCTCAAAAAAACAAGACTTCGAGACCCATCAAAAACGCTTTCGATATCGGACCCAATATTTCCCAAAACCCACGTCTTTCGAAGTACCATTCTTTAGCCCTTAATATGGAATGTCTTAACAACCGCACATTGAAATGCTGCCAAAAATGAATCTCGACACCGCTTATGCAGAAAACCGATGTTACGTCTATGTATCTACATTCAGGATAAGTCGTAGAACCGACTGACCGCATTTTTTTACAAGATCGACGACTTGCTACCTATTTTTTTCTTCTGGTAAGTAGCAAAGCCATTGAGTTTCAATATTTAGACTTGTGCAACCTAGAAAGTGTGCAATAACTTGTATGAGCGTGTGATGGTAATAAGTAAGTGTAAAACTATGACTGCAAATTCCAGAACCTAACTAAAGGAAGCGTCTATTGGTCTTGACTTTAATCAAACGTCTAGAGAGTTTGTTTTTCCACTTAGAGCCATTTAAGTAAAGAACAAAAGTTGAGATTTTTTTGAGGCACTACTACACTTTGCAGAAGGTTTAGTAGACAGTGAAGGAATCTAGATCGAAAACATAATCAGTGAGGGAAGTAGGTCATTTTCCACATCAAAGCGGAAAAAAAACTGATACAAAACCTTACTTTTCAGACGCAAGAAAGTGTTTTTTAAATGAAAACAAAACACCCTTGCTCTTCAAATAGACGATCTCGTCGCCCCCAGTAAATATTTGATTTTCTTTAAACGAAAGTGTGCCAGCCACATAGTAGCTGTTGCATATAAATGTCTCGGAGCTCGTGCACATTCCACAATTCCGCGGTTTAGATTATTAAAATTACTCAGTCTCTATTCACATTATACCAGATAGATTTTGCGTCGGCACGAAATATATACCACATAGGACTTCTGTTCACACAGCACCAAAAAAGTGATTGCGACACGCTTTTTCTGTAACGGAGAAAGGCTATGCAGCGCCGATCTCTAAAGTAGAGCGTCACATATCGGATAGGTTAGTGTTCATACTTGATACCGGATAGCTTTCGTGCCAGAACGAAAAACTATTTGTTATAGTGTGAACGTATAGCCTCATATTTAATCTCTACTGTGCTACTAGTTCTCAGTTCTTTACAGCAGTTCAAGCATAGGTTTTAAAGTTTTTCTTTTCGTAAAACAATCCCACCAAGTTGTCTGCTAGATGTTTGTATTCATATGGTGGGGAGGAACTAATTATAAGCGAAAAAGTCAAATACTAATATCCATTGTTTTTAATTTAATGTACTTACAAGACTAATTATGTTTCTTTCTTATATTTTAAGACAAATTTCTTTGACATTCAAACGCCTAAAAGAAACATGTAAGATGATAATTCATCCAGTTAATGTGGTCGTATCATAATCATCAAAGTTGTTTTCGTTACTCATTTTGTAGAAAGAGGATAATTTTAACTATTTATTGAATTTTTACATTCGAATCCGTTACGATCCGTTATTCCTAATCTTAAACCAGCCAAACACGCCTGCTAAACCTACCAATTTTCTCTTAAAACCAGAGAGATCGATTAAAAATCTGTAGGTGAACCGAGTTTCCGTTCTGTGTACTAAGTAATTTCATGCGGAAATCTGATTGCACGTTTCATACTGTGGAAGAGTAGTGGCTGCCGGGCTTAGTTTTAAAGATTTAGACACGAATGTTCTTGTCCTCAAATTCAGCTCCAAATAAGATTTTGATAAAAAAAAAAACGGACGTTTAGAACATTTCATGGACTGGTTCACGGATGAGATAGCAGCGACATACAGGCGTTTGACTCTGGTTAAATGGACCTGTTAATGCGCAAACATTGCGGATATGCAAATACTGTGTTCACCGAGTTATAAGGTGCAAGAAGGAAGAATAACACTCTTGGTGAGCTTCCGCTGCTTCCATTGGCGTTTTCAATGAAAAATGAGTCCTGTGTTCTGATTAGCTAACTAAGCAAAGAAGTTGAGGCTGTAATGCCCGCTAACTTTCGATTGCTTACCTTGTTCTCAAACGTCATAATTTCTTTCGGCCATATAATAAATCCTGTATTGAACAAGCGTAAAGTCAATATGGAATTGTAGCTTTTTCTTTCTTTTGCGCAACTTCTCTATCCATAAAAAACGCATAAAAAACGTGACCCACTATCTAGCCTGACATTGACCTCACACTTGGTCAATACGGAGTGTGCCCTTACACATACTTATTGTTCAATATGTGGAGGTTTATGCGGTCAGTCTGATATTATTTCCCAAAAATGTCTTGAGTTCTTACTCGTTTTCTGTTACCCGAGGCCCCAAATACAGAGCGACAGATAGAAGTGCAAAATAAAAGACAGCATCTTTATCAATCAAATGTAGCTACTACACTACAGTGCAAAGGTTTACGGTCTTGTTTTACTGTTTTATAATCTACAAGTTCGGTTCCATAAGCTGTACCCATGAACCCTGAAAAATTGACTCCTGAGGACCAAATGGAAAGATAAAATGACAAATCCGAG